AAAACCTAAGCTTAAAGAAACTTAAATTTTCTTATCAAATACATAACTAACTTTAAACCTAGTTTATCCTAACTATAACGGTTCCCCAACCACAATGTAAAACAGAAGAACATTAAAAGAGCAAAAAATAAATATAGAAAATTTCAAAATAGGTCCAAATTAAAAGCAACACTGATCAACAAAACGAGTAATACCAATATATAAACAAAAAAAAAATAGCAATGTTCTCAAGTAAAAGATATAACAATCAAGGTAGTTTGCAAATAAAAAGGAGAACAAAGCTGAATTAAGCGGCTCCATTATTTGAAAACAAATCCAAAAGTTTGATGCGAAAGACATTATTTGAATGTGAGAAAATACGTAACTCTATATGTAAGTAGTTCCAACAACGAGCAATACGAACTAAGAAAGATTTTTTTATAGAAGGAATTATTAATTTTGGGTACCAAAATCTGCGGACTCCTAGTCGATCTACTAAAAGTAAACTTATTAAACAACGGTAATGGACTACCAGATTTCATTATCTTATGAAAAGTAATCATACACCGTAGTTTAATGAAATCAGAAAAGTTAAATTTTAAAAAGTTATTTACATATGGGGAAATGTGATCCCATCGACCAACATTGTATACAAAACGAACAATAGTATTAACAATACGATTGATTTTAGATAAATCGATGGAATTAACACCTGAAATAATTCTACGTAAAGTATGCAAAACCCTATAGACAGTTTGACCAATATGAGCAGCAAAATTAAGTTTTCTATCCAAAATTATTCCCAAGAATTTAATTTGATCAACTATTTCAATACGCACACCTCCAATAAAAATGCCCAAATTAACATTAAATCTATCAAAAGGCATTAATAGTTAGGAAATTATGTGCAGCCCAATCAGAGACAAGTCATGCAGAACATCAGCAAAATCTCGATCGCAACTAAAAAGTAAGGCCACATCATCTGCATATAAAAGCGTAAATTGGCCTAAGATCCTCAGGTCCATTTACAATTTTAGATCGATGTAGTAAAAATAGAATTAAACAAATGGAGAAATAACTCAGACATGTAAGGATATATAATAAATCGAATAGAAATACCATCGGTCCCAATAGAATCCGAACGCACTTTATTTAAAGCCACAATCACTTCATATTCATTTACACCACATATTCAGATACACCACTTTCAAAAAATTGAAGGTTACTAAAATCAACTTTCTGACTTTCATCTTCGCCTAAAGAATTAACAAAATAGTCATTAATAACATCAACATCAAAGCCCTCACCAGCACTGTCATTATCACCGGCACAGCCGTAATTCTTGAAAATTTTCCACACATCAGAACAATCAAGTCTGCTAAATAACTTCGAAAAGTATCGTCTCTTCCCAACACGAATAACCTTTTTCGCCCGGTTACGGTATTTGCAAAATATTCGCCAGTTTTCGGAAGACTTATTATGTCTATATGCAGAAAAAGCCAAATCTCTTAATGATCTCGCTAATACAACTTTGTTAAACTTCATCCAAATATCATCATCATATTTAATTCTTTTTCTAACTTTAGGAACAAATTGTAACAGGGATTGCAAAAGGGTGGAAATATCTGAGCATATAGATTAAACATCGCTAGTACCATAAACACAAACAGGGTCAAGATCAGATAAAAAACTCATTATACCATTCCAGTCCGTTCCATTATAATCAAGATATTCAATAAAATCATTCACGTGTCTAATCTTAAAATTTTATAAATTTTAAGAAAAAACTTTATCTGAACAATTATTTTTAGCAAAATAAAGCAATTTGTTTGTTGTATTTTTTAAAGAATATCTTATATTTTAATTTTCTACCATAAAAAGTAAAATCGTGATATTAATTAACGAGATTTTTGATAAAATGTGAACGTATTGTTAATTTTTAAGGTCAATAAAGTATTTTGCTTTTTTAGGTTTTTTGTTAATTTTTTTAATATTGCTGCATTATTTTATAAAATTTAATATTTTTATTACTCCTATATATTAGAATAACATTTTTTAGATATTTTAGTAGTGGAACGACTAAGTTTGGACATTTCTTAACCGATTTATTATCCTATATACCTATACGAATTTTTCAATATTTGACTTAACATGAAATCTATCGTTTCTTTGATTTAATTTCGAAACTAATAAGTAATTTTGAATTGGATACATAATATATTAGGAAATCAATGGATTTGGACCTAGAACAAAATTTTAGTGGGGTATAAATCTATAGATTATAACAAAAATAATCTGGGTTTTTGGTCATTTTGTATTGATAAACAAAAACTACATTACGGAAACCTCATCTATTTGGGGAGTACTGTGTGAATTTTATTTAGGATTGTATAATATTGATTCTTATTCAATAAAGCTAACACTAAGTACCGCCCTAGCCACTCTAAGTATGGGGATTTCCTCGTATACCACTGTAGAACTATTACATGCTAGAATCTTGATATTCTACCTCTTTATACTTGTTCTAAAAATCTAAACTAATTTTTTATATTTGAATTGCCTCATTATTTCCCTTTAAACATTTTTAACGCAAATAACTACACAGTTTCACACAAGAAGGATATGATTTTTGAAAATTACAATTGAAAAATACTTAACACGTGTCCTTTTAACAATAAAACAATAAATTCCAAAAAGCAATTAAAAAATAATTTGAAAAACCCAACGAAATTAACTGGAAATTTCAATATGCAAAATACTTTATTGACGTGCAAATTCTGATGAAAAATAATAAAATGCAACAACAAATGCGACAAAATTTTTATTTTAATATTTTTTTCTTGGTTTTCCCATTCTACACAATCTCTATTTTTAATTGGAAAACATAAATTTACTTTTTACCTGTTTTTTTTTTTTTTTTTTTTTTAATTTTATTTATGAACAAAAGACAAAATTCTCTTAAAAAAAGGTAGGCAAAAAACTTAGTTGATTCACTGTACATTAAATGTACATTTAAGATGAAACAGACGACGACACATTTGGTTAAGTTTCGAAGCAGCAGGCGAAAAATGGTCGTTAAGGTAGACACGATGATCAATATCACCACCCACAACGTCACACACCTTCAGCATACTCTTTCATTAAACTATCTCTTAAATGCACGCTGTTAAATTTGACCAGTATAGCTTTACGGTTGTGCATGTAACAAACATGATTTATGTCACTACGGGAAATACTAACTTCATAATTGGCACAAATTTTAATGGCAGTACTAATTAAATCATCCTACCCACTAGGCAAGCCTATTACAACAACATCCGCACGATTCAAACGCTTATGAAGTACATTGTTCTCATTCTCAAGCGCATCAAATTTAGAACATGTGGAAGCATCAACTTATCTTATAAGCTTACTGCAATTAATAATGTCAGTGATTTAAATTCATGGATAGCATCAGTAAAAGCCCTTTTTAGATTATCAAAATCATCCTGTTTACTTTGCATATAGCTATCAATTTTACGATCAATTCCAACAATTTCATTACGGAGTTGCATCTCCATTTCTTGCAAAGTAGCTGTCGGATTAGAATTGCATTTGTCACAGAGGAATACAACAGACTTTGTTTCCTTCAACATTTTAAGTGTATCATCATTAATTTTAGTGCACTTAGTATGGAACCATAAATTGCAGGACTTGCATAAAACACTTGCCTGTGTTTTCAGAATTCCTTGACACAATGACCACATTTGAAAGTTTTGCTGGCAGGCATCTTGTTGCAAATAAAAAACTATTTATGTATGTACAATATAAAATGGCAGAATGATGTTTAAACGAAGAAATCAATTGTTAATTGTTTAGATTTTAATTTTTAAATGTAGTTAATGTAGTAAATTTAGTCGAAAGAAGTGCAATTATTAAATTATAAATGCAAAAAACAAAATTAATTGTTATTTAAAGAAAATAAAAAAGACCAGCTGTCAAAATAACACGTCTACTCAGGCAGGGTTGCCATACTTTTTTTAGGATACAGAATGATTGCAGTCCACTACAGGCTATACTATCAGCCATAAAAAGAGCAGCAAATTGGCGTTGGTACTACAGAATATCAAATACAGATATTCAAATTTCCACCGATAGTCAAGCTGTTATCAAATCGCTGATTGGTGTATATACTACATTCAAACTAGTCCAGGAATGCAGGACATCCTTAAATAGGATGGCGAGACATTCAACAATCGTGCTCAAATGGGTACGAGAACACGGGGATTTGACTGGCAACTGTATAGCAGATCAATTAGCGAAAATAGGAGCCTCAATGTCCGACAGAGACATATACATCTTTTGCGGCATACAGCTAAAAGCTTGTAAAAAACAAATAGATGAATAGTTCTATGAACTCTCGCAGACAAGATGGCGTAATGAACCAACTTGTATCTACACCAGAAAGATATGACCAAGTTTGGATAGCAAACGTACGTCGAATCTTCTACAACTAAGCCGTCCTTATCTCAGCAATCTTGTTGCTGTCATCCCAGGACATATTTAATTTAGAAACCATGCAAAAAAACTTGGTATGCCTCACAACGTCTTTTGTAGAAGCTGTCAAGACGAGAAGGAGGAACCATTGAACATCTCTTTTGTCACTGCCCTGCCCGAATTTCCAGGAAAGCGACTATTTGACGATTTGTCAGAACTATCCAACTAAGACTGGAAAACATTAACGCCTTCATCAGGCACAGCTATTGGTTTTAAGACCACCAAGCCAAACTGTATCAAGGCACTTACTAGTCCACAAGGACTTACTACTTCTATCTTTAACTACTCTTAGAACTATAATCTAAACTTATTTTACGCTTATTTTATGACCTAACCCTAAAACTATTCTCCGCTTTCTCTCTTTTTGTTTCCATTATCTTTACAGGTATCATAAAGGGACCAACAGGACCCAAGACTGAATACTATACCATAGTTTAAAATGATATACTTGATTTAATATATTTAAAGTAATTCTTAATACTAACCTCTTTCTTCCTCTTTAATTATGGTATTATTTTTCATCGTCTGGTTGTTTAATTTATCTTCATCATTTGATTTATTGTTATCGTTGTTTATGTGTGAAGCGTTACTACTGCTGCTTGAAGAATCGCCATTATTTGGTGATGATTCATTGAATTGTACAGAACAACTGTTTGTACTGGCAGAACTCTGTCTAATAAGAGTGTTGGATGAAATATTAGACAGATTATCCCGGTCACCACGACTCGTTGAATCCATAGCAGCTAAATTTACACCATTGCTGTTTTTGGCTTTATTTTTGTTATTACAATTTGAATCATCTATATTTTGACTGTTGTTGCCATCTACGTATAATAAATATAAAAAGTTGGAATATTAAATAGAATTTAGATGTTTAGAAATAAATATAGGCTTTGTATTACTTCAATGAATAAATAAATAAAAATAAAAACAAGTAAGAGTTCTATATTCGGCTGTGCCGAATCTTATATACCCTTCACCATGATGTGTTTAAAAACAGTCAGTACGATTTTTTTTTACAAAAAAATCAAAAAATACCAATTGTATCCCATTTTATACGTTCTAACTTAATCCGGGCTCTACATGCTTAATTTCATATTTCTAGGTTCAATATTATAGAAATTTCAAAAAGTACCTTTCGTAAAACGAAAAAGTACCAAAAAGTCCCCTTTTATTTGTTCTGGCCTAATCCGGGCTCAACATACTTAATTTCATGTTTCTAGGTTCAATATTATAGAAAATTCAAAAAGTACCCCTTGGAAGAACGAAAAAGTACTAAAAAGTCCCCTTTTATAGGTTTTTACCTAGTCGAGGCCCTACTTGCTAAATTTCATGTTTCTAGGTTCAATATTATAGAAAATTCAAAAAGTACCTTTTGTAGAACGAAAAGTACCAAAAAGGCCATGTGTTCTATCCTAATCCGGGCTCTATTATAGAAAATTCAAAAAGTACCTTTTGTAGAACGAAAAAGTACCAAAAAGTCCCCTTTTATGTGTACTGGCCTAATCCGGGCTCTACATATTTAATACCATGTTTCTAGGTTCAATATTATAGAAAATTCAAAAAGTACCTTTTGTATAACAAAAAAGTACCAAAAAGTCCCCTTTTATAGGTTCTTACCTAGTCAAGGCACTACATGCTAAATTTCATATTTCATTTATTTTCATTTTTCATTTATTTATTTTCATAACATGTAATATAAGCCTAAGAGGCCAAAATAAAAATATTACATAGCAGTAACAATAATACCTGAATACTTAAAACTATGTATATTAATACAGTAAATAATAACATTACTATAATTCATTCAATAGCTAAAATTAAATTTACCAAATGGATCAAATTGGCTCCCCAGCCAGGAAAAAAAAACTTATATAAAAAGGTACAAAGGTCCAATTCAGTAGCAAAAGAGTATATGAGCCAATTTAGGTATTGATTAGTAAAATATCAGTGATTTGAAAAGAGCCTTAAAAGTTTCAGTCGAAAAGCATTATTTCAATGCGAAAATATTCTTAAATCAAAAGGTAAGTGATTCCACCAACGTGCAACCCTTATAAGAAACGATTTTTCAAAAAAATTCGAAGATATTCTCGGTATATAAAGCTGCGGGTTTCTTATAGATCGCAAAAATATAAAGGAACTATATAAAGGCAACGGTCTACGTACCTTAATTACTTTGTAAAACAAGACTAAATTTCGATACATAACAAGTTCATCAAAAGTGCAGCCAAGAAATCGAATAAAATATTGAGAAATATGGTCACGACGTCGAACATTATAAATAAAACGTACCACCATATTAATCATACGATTAACTTTTTTCAAATGCATAGAAGATGTACCAGTAAAAACTTCAAAAGCGTAAAAAATATGTGACATTAACAAAGCCCATGATAATCGAATTCTAACTCGATATGGCAAGTACATATTCAAAGAATAAATCCGGCGAAAAATTCCAAAAAGTCTAGAACTTAACATATCAATATGATTAGAAAAGGAAAGTTTTGAATCCAAAATGACACGTAAGCATTTAAGTTGATCTACAAAATCAATACGTACACCACCTAAATACAAATTAATGTCAACGAAAAAACGATCAGTAGGACCAAACATAATGGCTTTGGTTTTGGAAGGATTTATAGTCAATGAGTTAAATGAGGTCCACTCAAGGACCCGTTCTAAGCCAAAGTTAATGTTATTCACCAAAACGTCTTCAAAATCCAAAGAGCATTTAAATAACAAAAGAATATTTCATTTCATATTCAATATTATAGAAAATTCAAAAAGTACCTTTTGTAGAACGAAAAAGTACCAAAAAGTGCCCTTTAATGTGTTCTCGCCTAATCCAGGCTCTACATATTTAATTTCATGTTTCTAGCCAATAACAACGTAACGTGATGTTCATTCTTTGCTTTGTGTTCATAAACAAGAATTACAATAACAAATAACAAAAAAAATTTTTTCTCTTTTTTCCAGAGATAAGACCAAAGTTTGATATTGGGATTTAATAGACCCCTTGGAGTATCTAAAAATAGTATTTTTTGTTACAAGAATCTGTATTTAAGCGATCCAAGTTATATTATTGATATCATTACTCTGTCGCTAATTCAATATATTGGAACTTAAGTCCATTTTCATAATACTAGGGTCAAAAAATTTCGGAGAAAGTTTTTTTGTATATATTCTTTTAGATATCAGCTTTTATATATTTTAAGTTTTCAATGTATTGTGGAAGTGTACAACTCCAAAACATGCCTCGAAGAAACACCATTCAATATGGTAGTATCATTATTTTTATATACCAATGACCTCCACGCTGCATGCCACTATATCATTATGGTCTAACTCAAAAATATCGATATCTGTTTAAATATTGATTACTATGATCAAAATAAACCCAATATTTTGGACTTACATTGTTATTGTAATGGGCAACATAAGCGTAAAAGTTACGAATAGTAAAAACTCAAATCTACTGTGTTTAAGTTAAAATTGATTTAACTACCTTTTTGAAATACTATTTATAACAACGTTAGAATCCTATAAAGCTTCCCTTTTTTTGCAACTTTGTTGGAAGATTCTAACGAGTAACCGCTAACGGTGCTTAAATATTGTTTGCCACCAAATTTATGCTTGTTTCGTTTGACATTATAAATCACTTTTGATTTGTCTACGACACAAGCACTACGTGCAATTACATTTACAAAACCATCTACTTCTACGAGGTAATATTTTGGTTTAAATAAAAAGAGATCTTCATCTCTAATAAATTTGAAATATACATTTGTTTTATTTTTATATAAAATCTTGGGAATCTTGTTGGAGCTGAACATTTGGTCCTAGCGAACCGGATTTCTTAGATCATTTATCGGATTTTTTGGATCTTTATATCAGTACCGGATCTTCTTTGGCACCTTCAACTCCATTCCTATAATACAGTCCACCGGAGATATCTTTATCATTTATTTATTTCTACGAAATAAGGTACGTAAATATATTTCATTTGTGAGCAAGTGATAAAATTCGTTTGTTTTGTTTCGCGAACATATACACACATTTCTTTTGTGAATTTTTGTTTTATTTTTTTTTTTTTTTAATTTGTGGATACATCTCACTAATTCGAACTCTAATTTATATTTAAAATTTTTTAATTTATTTTTGATCCTACGGACAATATATTAAATTAAAGTAAATTTTATTAAAATTTTATTACAAAAATCAGTGGTTTTTACATTTTCTTTTGTGCGTTATTTGTTTACAGATTTAGATCTGTAAAATAAAACAATAAAATACATAAACGGTTGATTCTTCTTCTACTTTTATATTAGTCACCCTACGCTCGGCCAGTTTGACTATTATCACATTTGTTTATATACTTTTTGTAGTCAAGTAGTATTATTAATTTATTTATTTTAAACGACTTTTCAAATATTAAAAAATGTCGGTTTCGCCACTAAACTCGTTTATTAGAGCATCGGATGCTCTTATTGCATTCGGGGCTATGTTTAGTAATTTTGACGAAGAAATTCATACGGTTTATACTTTGGAGATTCAGAGTCAAGAGTTAAAAACACTTTGGGGTAAAGTTAAGACGACGTATAGTGAATGTCTTAACTCTTTAGAGTCCGAAGAATTTGATGTGGCAGCGGCTAAATATAAAGCTACCTACACAGCGTATATCCAATGCGGAGGATCTATCCATGAAAAAATAGATGAATTCAAATCTGCTTTGAAAAGCAATGAATCTCTAACGGTAAATTCGAACTCCGGTAATACAGATCATAATCTAGCACTACCTCCTTGTGATATTGATTCATTCAGAGGAGATTATGTTTCTTGGCCCGCTTTTAGGGATTTATTTACCGCAATTTTTATTAATAGCTCGCGGCTTAGCAATATAGAACGGCTTTGCCATTTAATAAGAAAAACCGAGGGTGAAGCAAAAGAAATCGTTTCTAAATATCCACTTGTTAACGCAAGTTTTGAAGTAGCCTGGCGCGATTTAAAGGAAGCATATGAGAATCCTCGTATGTTGGTACATAACCAACTAAAACTTATTTTTGGCCTTCCTTTCCTTGACAAGGAATCGATAACAGCACTCAAAACACTACAACGCGGAATTAATAGATGCCTTTCGGCTCTTTTTATTTATAAAGTGCCTACGGATAATTGGGATCCAATTATAATTTTTATGTGTATTCAACGTCTGCCTAGATCTATAGTTATTTTGTGGGAACAGGGTGTTAAAAACAAAACTGTTTTGTCTACATGGAAAGATTTCGATAACTTTCTGACAGAAAGAATTCAGACATTGCAATGTCTTCAAGATCTTAAAGATACGAACTCGACTGACGTCGACTTTTCAGTGCATTCAAATAGTTCTACTATTACTAAACCTTCATGTATCTTATGCCCTAATCAGTCACACTATTTGCGAAATTGTCGTCGATTTAAAAATCTTTCAGTACCTGACAGAATTTCTACTGTGAATGATTATAACTGCTGTACTAATTGCCTTTCGAGGACACATAAAGTCAGAAGTTGTACAATCAACAATAACTGTTTTATTTGCAATAATCGACATCATTCTATGCTTCATCTGCAGCATACAGATAATTCTATAGTTGAAAGACCAACTGTTTCTACTGAACAGAATTCCAGTGAGGTTCTACGACCCACTAACTCTCACACTCGACAATCGCACACGTCCAATAATGTTACTTCTAATCCACAAGTATTTCATACTAGACAGAATCAGTCCGTTTTGTTAGGGACTGCAATGGTAAACATAATTCATAACAGCCATAAGTATCAGGTCCGTGCTTTAATAGATTCGGGTTCAGAATGTTCTTTCATTTCTGAACGTTTACGAAAAAGATTAAAACTTCCCACTCATTCTTCGAATTCTAACGTTTCTGGCGTTAATAATGTGGTTTTTGGAGTTTCAAAGTTTTGTCCTTTGGAAATTAGTTCAGATTTAGATTCTTCAATAAAACTATCAACTAACGCATTTGTTTTACCAGAAATAACAGGAAATTTGCCTTCGAGTTCTGTAAATGTCGATATTGGAAAATTATTGCCAAATCTTTGTTTGGCTGATTCGAATCTTTTTACCAGTAGGCCTGTAGATATTCTTATCGGAGCAGATTTATATCCGCGCATTATTTTACCGGAAATACAACAAAACGTATTAGGGTCATTATTGGCACAGAAAACTATATTTGGCTGGATACTGACAGGTCCAGCTAATCCTAGGGATTTTGAAACATATATCGACAATTTAACGTATTCTACGTGGTCTAACGCTTGTTAACCTTTAATTTATTATCACTTTAAAATGCTCACAGAAATATATTTATGTTCCTTTTACCTTATTCATGTTTTTACCTTATTATTTATTATCTTTATATATATTATATTACTTATATTAAATAATAATCCACCTGCGGGATTTAGTTTCCGTGGGGAAAGTCGAGAGACTTCTTAAAAATCCACCTGCGGGACTTCGGTTCTGTGGGGAAAGTCGAGAGACTTCTTAAAAATCCACCTGCGGGATTTAGTTTCCGTGGGGAAAGTCGAGAGACTTCTTAAAAATCCACCTTCGGGACTTAGGTTCTGTGGGGAAAGTCGAGAGACTTCTTAAAAATCTACATCGTTTTAAAATCGTTTGCAATTCCTAAGGTATTGCAAGGTGGCCGGCAATGTTTAAGTTAAAATTGATTTAACTACCTTTTTGAAATACTATTTATAACAACGTTAGAATCCTATAAAGCTTCCCTTTTTTTGCAACTTTGTTGGAAGATTCTAACGAGTAACCGCTAACGGTGCTTAAATATTGTTTGCCACCAAATTTATGCTTGTTTCGTTTGACATTATAAATCACTTTTGATTTGTCTACGACACAAGCACTACGTGCAATTACATTTACAAAACCATCTACTTCTACGAGGTAATATTTTGGTTTAAATAAAAAGAGATCTTCATCTCTAATAAATTTGAAATATACATTTGTTTTATTTTTATATAAAATCTTGGGAATCTTGTTGGAGCTGAACATACTGTATAGGATGACGTTTTGTTAAGGCATGTTTTGGAGTTGTATACCGATATAATGTATTGAAAATTTAAAATATATTAGTGCTAATATGTACATGAATGTATACTAGCCAACTTTGTCGGAAAATATCGACCCTAGTGGTACGAAAAGGGACTTAAGATCCATACAATTCAATTAGAAACAGAAGAACGATACCAAAAATACATCTTGGAACTTTTAAGTACAGATTCTTATAACAAAAATTATTATTTTTAGGGGGTCAAGGGGTCTATTAAATCCCAATATTAAAGTTTGAGTTTATTTCTGAAAAAAAGGAAAAAAAAATGCAAATATGGTCCAAAATCGCTATTTTAATGATATTACATGAAAAGATGGTACAAATGCTCCAAAATTGTGGAACAAATGGGCCAAAAATATATAATTTCGGTCGATAGTAACCCCTTAACACAATTTTAAGCAAAAAACACTCGATTATAATTTTTGCGTTTCGTATAATATGGTCATATATGAAATACAGGGAAAATTCGAATACTTTTGTGAGGCAATTTTATGGACT